TCAAATGAATATGTTTCATCAGAGTTTCAATCTTATGAAACTTATCTTGCAAGTGTTTTGCACAATAGCTTCATCTTGTGAAATTTTGCTTGTTTTCTACTGAAAAGTTGGTCTAAAATTGTTTTCTCTGAATATTTTTCTTGTTATACAATCATCTCTTGGAGTGTTGCACCTTAATGTGAGCAGATCACAACATTTCAGTTTGCACTTGCAGTTTAAGAGGAAAATTTAATTGCTTGTTTTGTTTTTAATATCTGTGAAATTAACACTGTATTTTGGGAATTTTAGAAATAAATCCTGCAAGTTTAGATTAGCATTTGTTTGAGTTCCCATGACTTGCTGAGATGTCGGTAAATATCTTTAATAGCTTCTGTGATCAGAGGAAAACCCTGTATGAAACAAGAGCAGAAAAATCTCAGATAAACGCCTGACCTCCTGCAGCTGGCTGTCCTGATTTGAGCTTTGACCAGAGCAAACCCCACAGGGCGTCGCTCTTATTTTGAAAAACATGAACCGAATGACATGCCACCTTTGTCTGTTTGCATATTTCTTGCTGTTATTCATGCAGTTCATCACAGCTACAACAAATCACAGGAAAAGTTTTCTGGAAAGAGGATTTGGAAACTTTTATTGGTGTCAGTTATTGGTGCAAAATAAAGATCATATCGGTTACACCTGTCTTCAGATAATGATTTGACGGAAAAAAAATGCTCCAGAAAACCACAAAAAAACAGCAACAAAAAACTGAAATATTGCTGACAGCAATATGACTAGCAACTATAGAGTGGCTGATTTACTCGTTTAAAAAGAAATGCAATAAGATCCAAATGTACCACAGGCCCGTCATTTAAAGGTATTGGTTTTATCAGCATTTTATTTCTTTGACAACATGCAGCAAAGACCAAACCTCATCCTCAAGTGTCCCTGGTTTGTTAAGACAAGTTTGGTCCCACTTTTTTTTTTTTTTTTCCACAGCAGAGTTGTGTCATAGGATGGCGCCCAATCAGGGACTGGACAGGAATCTTTACTATTGACTCCAGACATGGAATGCCCGTTCTTGTTCTTCTCCAGATGAGCAGAAGGATTCATCTCCTTTGACAGAAGTTGCTTCTTGTCTATTTTTTATTTTTTGTCTAATTTGTTTCTCATGACTTCAGAACAAGTCACTAGACCATGGGCGTAGGTTTGCATAGGGACGATAGGGACATGTCCCGACCAACATTTTGGACTGACCTAATTGTCCCTACCAATAATTCGATTTGAATAACATGTTTATATAAAATGTTTATAATTAACAGTTCAGTGTGGTGGATCACTGTTACCGTTTCAGGCAGTTCAGCTATAAATAGCAGGTGTTATTTCTTTTATAGAGTATAACAAGACGAGGTGGGGCCTTAACTGACTTTTAACTTTTAAAAATAGGATAAAGACAATAACAAACAGAGGAACACTATTTACACTGATTTTATTTGACATAGATTTCCACACAATCTATAAGTTAATTATTACAATACATTAGTTTTTGGTAAAAATGCTTGAATCCAGCTGTGTTATATTTTCTTTTAATAATTGTTAAAAGTGATTTTATATTGGAATAAATTTAGTCACATTCTTAGTGTTGTTGTTTTTTTAGATGATGCCACTAAATGTAAATATAATAAATGTATTTGCCGTTCCTTGAATGTGTTATTTTGCATTGTTTCATGATACAGAGAGAGCATTTAAAAAATAAGACTGTTTCACCTGTTTACCTTTGAACAATTCTATATCTTCAAAAGAAAATACAGGATAAATCCACATATAACAGGCATATTTAGGCTATATTTGGTTAAATTGGCACATGTTTACCTACTGTCTTAGTCACTGGTAAGTTTAAATGCAAACCTTTTCAAAGTGGAAAAAAGTCCTAATTCCACATTCATCAGATCCAGAGATGCTTCAAACATTGAAAAACAACATCTAATGTGTGCAGTGCTTATAAAATTAGTATAAATGTAGCAAGAAAGGCTGCTTTTCTCTTTAAACGAAATGCACCCTAATGCTTACTTCAAGCATTAAAAAGGCATGCATATTTTTGCAAAGGTAAATTTACATTAATGAAACTTAGGACCAATAGTGTCCCTACCAAAGTGGAAATCAAACCTACACCCTTGCGTTAGACAGAAACTTTTTCTTTCCGCTGGTAAGACCATGGGGACGTGAAGTTAACTAATTTTAAGTTTGTGCAAAAAGCAGATTATGTTTTATTGTGAATGGTAAACTCGTTTGTGTTGGAATACAAATTTTATTGTTCTGCACAAAAGGATGTGAGCTGATTGGACCGAATATGACAAGAATGTAGTGTAGCAGCAGCACCTAGTGGTGGTTCAGATGAACTGCAGCAGATTAACTCCAGCATGAAGATGTGGTTTTTGCTGGAAAAAAAAAAAAAAAAAAGCAAAACAAAACAAAAAAAAGCAACAAAAAAAAAACAATTTGAAATATTATTATTATTATATCTATGCCTTATTATAGCTATTCCAGAACATTTACTCTTTTTATTAGTGCTGTATTATTGCAGGGAACTGAAGAGGACTCAGTGTCTGAGCAGAAACTGGATTCTAGAGGGGGGCTTTGATGTCGTGTTGCTAAGAGCAGATGTCCTGACTGTTGCTGCTTCATGGGGGTTTCTGACCTTTTAGGTCTTTGTTCTGCTAAAACACAAACTATCAGAATCCAAACATTGATCTAAGACTCTGTACAGGAATTAAATAGAAATCTAATTACATAAAAAATAGTAAACTCAAACCCTTCAGCCATGGTGCTTTCTATCCTCTGCCTTTATTTGTCTCTTGTCTTTATTTCTGTTGTGTGTATTTCCATTAAAAATGAAAATTTGTCCTCCTTGGATCATTACTTATTTGTTCAGGATGTAATTTTATCCAAATAAGACTGATTTAAAAATCTAGCTGAGGTGAAATCTGGAACATCCTTTATCATTTTTTTTTTATGTACAATAATAATAAAAACAGCAATTAACATATTTAATAATATTTTTAATGTCTGCTTTGATTTGTATCATTTTAAAAATTGAAATGATTGCCTTTCCTGCATTATTATATTTTCTGATTAAAATTATACTTTTTGTTTTGTTTGGTTATCTGTACATTCGTATTCTGGACCTTGTCATGGTAAATCCTCAATGGTCAGTGCTTTGATTTGCATTAATTCAATTCAATTCTATTCAGTTTATTTATATAGCGCCAATTCACAACAAAGGACATCTCAAGGCACTTTATAGTTCAACCAGATCATACATTAAAAGCCATAGATCAGTGCAGAGGAGTGTGGAGAAAGGAGCATGTCAGTATTACACTGAAAAGTGTGGCATAAGATTGTGTTCAGGCCTTCGAGGTTGAAACTCACCTTATAAAGTTGGTTCTTTTTTTTCCCTCTGGTTCTGAGTTGAATTGAGACCAGACTTTGATTAGGCCATTCTATCACACTAATGTGCTTTGATCTAACCTTCTGTTGTGTCTCCAGCTCGACGATTAGGACGGTTGTCCTGCGAGGAAGAGAATCTCCAACCAAGCCCGAGAAGATTTAAAGTTTTGCATTATCCCAGTGAACCTGGGCAGACTAACTGGACGTCATGTAGGTTTCTTTCAACATATCTTCCCTAATAATAATAACTGAATAATTGAACTTTAATGATCTCACATTGGAGAAATTTACCTCTGGTTTTAACCCATCCCCTTTGGAAGCAGCGGGCTGCCATTGTGCGGTGCCCAGGGAGGAGTGTGGATTGAACTGGGTACTTGCAACGTTCTCAGAGCACAAACGCACAGCTCTAACCACTAGGCCAACATTCCCTCTCTACTAAGCAATCGTTCATAAACATCTTTTTTTAAGCACAGAATGCAGTTAGTTTATCATCTTTTAATGCTTGGATGATGGATTGAACTGTTATCTTGGAGTTATTTAACCTTGGGGGATGTTTTAGAACCTAACCCTGCTCAAGTTATTTTGACTCAAATAGAAACACTACATTTCTTTTAACAGTGTCCTGTCTGGCGATGTGGCAATAAAAATAATTGTCCTGATGCCAAAAAGAACCCAACAGATTTTACTTTCACAAGTGGAGCAGTACAGCTATCGCTACAGCGTTCTGATTGATTTATGCAGATATATATCTTTATTATTCATGCAGGGAGTATTAGAGATTATATGGACACTGCAATGTAAGTAGAACAGGAAAGGAAAAACAGAAAGAAAAGGAGAAAAGATTAAATAAAGAGAAGATAAAAGGAGCGATAAAGATAAAACATCTTCAGTCTGATTCATCAACCAACCCATACTGCATTTTAAGGCTTATTTTATTTTTTGCATCTTAAAATAAAGATCAAACAGTTACTTTTTTAATATCAGTATCTAAAAACACACAAAATAAAAACGCAAAAAAACTTTAAAAGATGCACGGACACTCTTAGATTATAGTTAGATTAATTCGATTGAAAGATATTGATAAAAGCTTTAAGTTTTTATATTCAGTAATATATGCCAAAAAAAAAAAAGCATTTTTCATTTTAAAACGTCTGAGAAGCAGTGCTTTATTATTATTCTGGGCAAACTTAATAATCATTGATCATCTTTTTTGTTAAGTTTCAGTTTCAATGTTGTGCATTTGCGCCTTTCTCTGAAAACACGTGATTTCTCCAGGCTGTTCCGTCTTAGTGTCATTCCTCCCCAACACACATATATTGTTTTTATTTAAAGATCTAAAATGCATCTTAAAAATACCATGACATGTCTCGACTACATAAAAATATATACTTCCTTCTAATGCATAAGATACAACCAATAAAATAAAGTTTTTGTGTTAAAAACTTGTTTTTAAATACTGTTATTACGGCTGCGTGTGGGAGTTGACGGATCAGCCACTTTTCCGTGTTCTGATTGGCTACAAGCAGGAAAGAGGCGGCGACCTGTTGTGGATTCCCCTTTATGATTGGCTGAGAAGTTCTCGCTGTGGTGCGTCACTGGAAGAAGGTTGGGAAGCTGACAGAAGCGAGCATTTGTGGAAGGAAATCGCCATCAGGACCTTAAACCTGTTTCACAGCGAGAGTACAACCTTCTACAAAATAAAAGGCAAGTCTTATCACCTGTCTGTCATGTCATGTAAACATTTAATTCGCTACGGTTTTATTTTTATTAGCGGAGCAAATCATTCGAGTTAGCAAGTAGCTAAAGTAGTAGCTCGAGACAACTTAACGGAAGTTAAAGATGAGTTTTTATTCTTTTATTTTGTTAATTAACAATATATACTAATAATCTGGCTTATTGCTGTTAAATACTGTTTTTCATGGGCTCATATTTTCAGTCGCCCTGCTGCTGACATGTAGGAGGTAAATACAGCTTTTAGGTTAGCTTCTGATTAGCATTAAAGGGCTGTTTCACTCTTTTTAAACAACCTAAACTGCATTTTTCTGTTCACAATCTATTATTATAATTATTATACACTTATTATTATTATTACTATACACTTATACATGATTATTATTATTATTATACACTCTTAATTAATTTCATATGGATTTTGATATTTGTGGAACCTTGATTTCAGTTGTAAACATACAAAAATATCTACTATTTTTATTTTATTTTTTTTAATTTGGCCTTATATATCTCTGATTGCAACTCCTGGATCCAAACCTGGATTGAAATGATTATTTGATATAATTATTATGATCTTAGTCCCAAGTATATCAACTATATTTAGAATAATAATCCCTTATTTGTAAAATCAGTTATGTTGTTTTAATCTGAATTAAATGTTAACATGCACACCGGTGCACCACAGCTATAAAAAAACGATTCAATTAAACATTTGCATATCGTATATTAAACATTTGTGCTTTGAAAACTAATTTAATGCAGAATAAGGCAAAATAAGTATGAGGTGCTCAGGATAGAGCAGCTCTAAGTTGCAAAAATGGCTCAAATTAGGCTTTATTTGCAAAAATCACCAAATTTCACCAGCAGTTTTTAATGATTGTTAATGTTTCAAAGATTCTGTAATCTGTTGAGCGTAATCTGGTGTTTTGGATTAGAACTAGAGCTGATTAAAGGTAGACCCACATCCTTTATGCTATTAACTGGCTCTTCTTACAGGAACTAGATGATAACATCAGAGCTGAGTTGTGCTGATTTATTATTAAATCAAATTTAGGAAGAATATATTTTCACTTCGTTTGTCCGTTAAACTATTTGGTTCTTCTTTATGATTTCATAAAAGGCAGATATTTGTGTAGCATAAAAAAAATGTCCCAAAAATAATCTTTAATCTAATACTAATCTATTTCTAATCTAATCTAATCTAGTAACATATTGATCCGGCGGTTCATAGGAGCATAAATACATTATGACCTTTTTTAAGGTAATATAATTAAGCGTAACAGAGTCTTCCTCACTAGATTATTGTGTTTTGTTTTAACTTTCCGTTTCTAATGAAATCTTATCAGGGAGGAGCTTTCATTTCCTATTCTTTGCTGCCGCTCTGAGCTGATAAGAGCTAGTTTTGTTTGACTTCTATGTTTTTTGTCTAATGTGATTATCAGCTTTTCATTTCGTTTAGACGTTTCTCAATCTGAAACAAAAAGCATGAGGACCAGGATCCAGTTATAAAAGGAAATCGTCTTGTGTTAAAAGGTTTTATTGTTATTTACATCCTTTATGGTCTCTCCAAGGAATCAATTCTACACAACATCCCATCAGTTTGATTGATTAAAGACTTCCTGTTGATCCTTTATCATTTAGCATCACTTTGCAGGTTTTTTTTTTTATTTATTTTGTTTGTTTTGCTTTTATTTAACTCAAACTGAGTCAATCTGATGCAGATGTTCTTTATCACCAGCAGATGGCGCAGTGGTGCCAGCTTCAGATGCTGGACTGTAAGTACCTGGAGCAGGTGGACCAGCTGTATGATGACTCGTTCCCCATGGACATCCGGCAGTACCTGAGCAGGTGGATCGAGAGCATCGACTGGTGAGGAACTGATAGGAGATCAGGCCTGAATCTGAGCTCCTCGCTTGGTTTCTGCTTCAAGCTGATGAACTCCTTCAGTAGGCGGGCAAACAGGAAGAACTTCATATCTATTGAGGTTGTTGGATGGAAGATTTTCTCTTTAAATTAGGAATAACTTCCCACATTTCTGATACTTTTGACATTTATTAGAGAGGTTTATCTTCCATCTGTCCTTGAATGAACCTCCTGGAGCAGACGGCTCCTTTTCTACTAAAATGAACTGAAATAATTAGATTTGACGGTTTAGAAAATGCAGAGATATTGTTCAACTCAAGTTGGGTAAAAACAAGCTGTGTTGATTCTGAATATATTCTGTGTAATTCATTAAAAAGATGATATTCTGTATTAATGTAGGTTGAGAATAAATAGACAAATATCTTCATTTGCACAAAATAAAAAAAATTGAAAAGGGATTTTTAAACGGCTGAATGGAAGAGGAAATTAAAAGCAGCAACTTTCTCTGCTATGATGGTGCAGAAAAAGGCTGAGAGAAAACAGAAAGCCTAGATGTTTAGTCTGAGCAACAGGGAGCAGTTTACTCCAAAGGTTTGAAAGAATCCAGTTAAAGAAGTTGGACTTTTTTGTGGTAAAATGTGTTTGTCAGTGAAAACCTGCCGGTAAATCCAGAGTGTGAAATTCGACTTTGTTTTTCTGTTTCTAAACCAGAAAAGTCCACAAGAGGGTGTGATTGTGGTCCTTGATCTACATCAGAGGTCACGGTTTAACAGACCAGGACCCACCTGCTGGCTAATCTGGACCCAACCTGATTTACAACATTTATAAATAAAATAAATAAAGCCTACAGCCTCCGCTATTCCTCCCGTCCTGCTCAAAGAGAGCATGCACGATAATATTATTATTATTATTATTCAAATTCAGGAGAAAACGTGGAAAAAAACAAAACGCTTACTTTAATATGACATATTAAAAAAAAAATCTCCACCATCATCCAGCCTGCATATGTTCAGGTTTTGCCCAAATATTTTCGTTTTGTTGTGAATTTTTTAACAGGTTTAACTAGGATCATCCATCGTCTCCTTGACTAAAACACAAACCTTTGAGTATTTATTTTTTTTGTTCATCAAAGATCCACGTTTAGTTCGTCAGTCAATAAAAAAAGGAGCGTTAACAGAATGATTTTACCATCGTCATCGTTGCTGCTGAAAACTGAATAAACATGAACTTTAAAGCAATTTTAGAAGGAATACTTGTAAATTAGCAGGAAATGACTCCTTTAAACTCACAACAAAAGAAAAATAAATGCAATAGGAATGTTTGTTGTTAGCTCCAGTGGTTTGAAGGTAAAGATGGCGCCTTAAAGGTTGGAGAAAATATCAGATTTAGATATTTCCAAGCGACGATTGCTGCTGAGGTCTGATCGGTCGACCAATGAGGCGCTGACGCCGTCTGTCCTCCTTGGTCTCCTCAGGGACACGGTGGCCATGCAGGACTCGCTGGCCACCATCCGCTTCCACGACCTGCTGGCTCAGCTGGACGACCAGCACAGCCGCTTCGCTCTGGAGAGCAACTTCCTGCAGCAGCACAACTTTCGCAAGATCAAGAGGAACCTGCAGGTGGGAGCCTTCAACCGGATCCGGGTCGGGCCCGGAGCTGAACCGGTTCTAAACGGGAACGTTTTTCCTTTCTGCAGGACCGGTTCCAGGAGGACCCCGTCACCATGGCGATGATCATCTCCAGGAACCTCAAGGAGGAGCAGAAGATCCTGGCCTGCGCTAAAGAGGCGGAGGTAAAACCTGGATGTGAGCTGAGAGGAAACTCCATCTGATCTGGAAATGTTAGATCCAAACCCGGCGGCGTTGTTTCCACAGGCGGAAGGAGAAGGACCGGTGTCGGCCATGGTGGTGGAGAAGCAGAAGCTGGACAACAAAGTCAAGGATCTGAAGGATAAAGTTCAGGTTTGATGAGCAGATCAACTCTGGTTATCAGCTCTGCTGGATGTTAGCAGAACCTCACTAAGGAGGCGAGTTTCTTCTTCCAGTTCCTGGACCAGCTGCTGAAGAACTTGGAGGACCTACAGGACGAGTACGACTTCAAGATGAACACCCTGAAGAACAGAGGTAAGGAACGGAGACCAGAGCGCTGAGAACCTGGGAAAACAGGTGGAGCTGATCCGGCCTCTTCTGCAGAGAACGAGCTGAACGGCATCTCAGCCAAAGAGCTGGAGAAGGAGAAGTTCCACACGGCCCGGATGTGCATGGAGCTGAAGCAGAAACGCCACGTGAGCTCACAGCACGCACGAGAGGAAACCCGCTGGAAACATCTGGAAACATGAGAACCAACATGTCCTCCTGTTTCTGTGTTAAAGGACGTGGTTACCTTTCTGACGGAGCTGCTGAACCTGACCCAGAACCTGATCCAGGACCTGATCTCTGAGGAGCTGCCGGAGTGGAAGCAGCGGCAGCAGATCGCCTGCATCGGCGGCCCGCCCAACGCCTGCGTGGACCAGCTGCAGAACTGGTGAGGCTACGCTAACACGCGTTAGCTCTGACTTTATAATTCACATTCAATCAAGTTTATTTTTTTTTTTTCATCTTTAATTTCCATATATTATCTTTTTTAATTAGATTTTAACAAACTGAATTTTTCCAGTTTTTTTTTTTTTACAGATTTATTTTTCAAAAGTTTTCAATAGAATCCGTGTATCATTCGTTCTTTCTATTTTCAATTGTCAAAAAAAAAAAAAAAAATTGACTGGTTATTTTGTTTTTTGTTTTTTATGGTTAAACCAAAAACGAAAAAAGGATTGGTTTTTCATATATCAATTCTAAGCTCCAATCAAAAATACGAAATGGAAAAACGGACAGCAACGCAAAATTAGATTTTAATATTTAATCGGTACAGTTTACGTGACCCGGAAATAGCTCTTTGCACGGCAGTTGGGGTAATGAAGTGGTTACCATGGCGACGCTAGAACCACACACTATGTTGATCGAGAAGCTGTTTGCCAGCGGTTTGACACACGCCGAAATTTCCAGCTCATTGCAGCAGATGGGTGTCAAGGAATGCTCTAAGATGAGCGTCAGAAGATTCTGTGCTCTCCACGGTCTGAGGAGAAAAGGGAAATAACACGTAACTGTCCATGGCTGATAGGTCCGACTGCCTTATCTGGTGCAGCTTGATCGAACGTGGTGGGGGTAAGCCATTTGTTTTTTTTAGCTAACGCTCCACCAAACTTCCGGGTCACGTAAACTGTACCGATTAAATATTAAAATCAAATTCTGAGTTGCTGTCCGTTTTTCCATTTCGTATTCTTGATCGGAGCTTAGAATTGATATATGAAAAACCAATCCTTTTTTCGTTTTTGGTCTAACCATA